TTTTGCGATCCGTGCATCAATGCACTATTCTATAGATGCTGTGTCAGCGTGAGGATCGGTAATTTGGATGAAAACTCTTTCTTCAATGTCCTATATATAAGCAACTTCTTAGTGCTCGACGGTAATCACAAGCTTACTCGTTGTATGTGGTGTACTGAATGTTGCCTGATCGCGAATAAGATGAGCTGAAAGTATCAACATCACATATTCTTCACATTGTCAATTTTATACACCAGTTAACCTCGCTAATAGTGCAATATAGAGGGACACCTGCCACAGTTTGGATTTCTATTGGTAACGAAGTTGATAATTTAAGCTACCGCCGCCGCAATTTGGATTCAATTGATGGTACTATGTATGTGTAACAGTAGCAGACATTGTTCTGTGAATCCTCCCGTAAAACGATCGAGTTGTGCGTATCGATATGATGTACGGTGTTTTCTATATTTAAAGTCTTATCGATCCTTCTGATAATTTCACACATCGTATTTAACCTGTGCAAAAGTGAGCAAATAACCCACCAGCTAATCATTGAAAGATATATTCCTTGCACCATAATAATCTCTTACTCATCAGCTAACTGACCTGGCACGTGAAGGTCATATATGAGACCCGCCATCACCGCTTCGATATCCCACCATCGCTGTTCATTTAGAGATATCCAGATTTTTTCACAAGTAGGAGCTCATAGAACACGCCTCAAATACATACAAACTTTGCATAGGTTTAAAGTTACAACTTTTCTATGCCCCTGCTATCTAAGTGTGCAGCTTCAAATGTGTTTGATGGCTTCAGCTTCCCTCCTTGTCAGGCTTTGCGTCTGGCGTGTCTTTGTGTTGTGCCTCTTCATCGTCATCGTCATTATTGCTTATCTCGTTCTTAAACTGATCTCTCCACTGAGATTGATTTGGAGTGGACAATTTGAGTTGTTCTTTATCTGAACTAAGGCATGTTAAACAACGTTCAAATCATGTCGAATACCGATGCTTACTAAATGCACTAAAACACGAATGTGCAATGCTCTAGTTAATTGCGTCCGCAAATGTCGGATTTTAAGTGGTTCATCAGCGAATCATATACTATCCACTAATTAAAACCACCGCTACTAACAGTACAGTACGCACAAACTTGATACGAGCGCGAGATGTGGCATATAGGTACACATGATTATCTAACACAACACATGAATCTCAATTGTCACATGCCTCCTGATAATCCTCATCTTTGAAATCGGCATCAAATAAATGATTTTGCACGTGTCGTTTTCGTCCCTCCAATTCCGAACACCAAAATTCTTTGCATCCGTAGTTTACTTCCAAAGGTAACAGAGGGTATTGCGATTCAATGACTTCCTTGATCACTGCATTGCGTTTTGCCATATGTACCGCCGCATAAGGTCGCATGTCCTGTCAAATATATCAAAGTTAAAATAAATGAATTCCATAGCTATCCGGTTCAAAATTATATTAAGCGCTCTGAATACTGCCTCAGTAATTGCAAGCCAAACATGTATTGAAAGTGAAGGGAATCTCATTAAAACACACTTTATACCAAGTAGAAATTGTAAAATTTCCTTACATTTCAACGCGTTAGCCTATGTCATGCTCTGACATAAGTAACTATCCAGCAATGAATGGTGTCTACAGACATACCTCATTGACTACTCGACCAAACATATCGACTCGAGCCATGGGTGCGTTCAGAGTTGCGACGGCACCATGAGCAAAGTCCTGCACTGTGGTTTTAATACCAGCCTTTGCAAATATGCCTTTTCAATATCCGCGAGGGCGGGGGAGGAACAGGCGATAATGCAAAATCAGATCAAATGTAAGCAAGTATTTCAGAGTCTACAGTAGACTAAGATTTAGTCTAGTGATGAGTCTTCTTCATCAAAAGTAGAGTAAAACATTTGGTCACGGAAACGATAATAAAAGGCAGTTCTTCATTACAGTTCAAAACGCAAAATACAATCATTATAACTAACAGAAGTGAATAGAACCCTCCTTGTTTCGGCCGATCGAATATTTTATGGTTGCCATAAAGTGCTACAAAATCACAATGCAGAGGTGGACTCTCAATTGATCTGATGCAACATGACGTACACTAGAAGCAAGGAATAGAGCAAGAGAGATCACAGGAATTTGCAAGAACTACTATCGAGAGGGATAAGGGAAAAGCATTCATGTTCCATTCGGACGACAACTCCAAGTGCATCACTACATACCTAAGTACATCGCCACGATATAGATTCCTTGATCGTTGCATGTTGGCAGCTGTAATACATGAGAATGCAAGTCGTTATAGTAGTGTAGTGATTTTTTTGATGAAATTGAAAAAAATTGCAATTTGACTAAGAGACGCGTACAATATAAAGTATCCAGTGTCACCCGCGTATGTGTCGATAGACTGGCGCCGTATCTAGAAACTATCATGCAACATAATACTTCCCTCTCCACTTCTAGAAAAATTGGTTGAAAGTACAAATTGATGTATGATCATACTGCACCTACAGATCATATACTACGTGTACATGGTGGACACACTTGATTCGCAAGCTGATGATTGTGCTGGTAAACTATGCGGGGCTTCACACTATCGATGCAGTTGTGGATTCAGATGTGACTTCTTGATAGGCGTTTGTCGTCAGCACTTTCCAATCATTAAAGCTCATCACAGCCAGAATACTGAAAGGTCGACAGTGAAAAAAGAATCGTAAATTTTACCTTTGGTATCATAACTTTGTCCATGGCATCCATGTAAGCTTTGGCTTCTCCGAAAATAGTGCCGGCGCACACACGCGGTCTCATCAATAAGGTCTCAAGCGCCTGTGATCAGGAAGGTAGTGGTTTGATCAGCAACGACTATTCTTTACATTCAAAATTCTTTTATAATCTCAAATGTCATTATTATCGCTGTTTTTATCGATCCATACGAACCTATACAGAACTCTAGCCCGTCAGCACTGAGCTAACCCATCAACTTTACGAATGGCTGAGCAAATCAAGTCATGAATAAATCTAAGAACTACCCACCTTTTGATTGTAGGGGAGAAGGGAGGGACACGAAATAAACGAAAATATCGATTTCATGCCGTATACACTGATCTATCACGTGGTCTTAAACTAAAAGTCTATACCTCACGACCATAGCAGTCCTCTATCCATCTCTTGTTCGGTTCAGAGTCTTTAATCACTCGTGCGTACGTTTCTGCAAAGCCTACCAGACCCCCCTGGGGGTCGACATATGATGGGTCGAATATGTCTGCCTGCAGGAAGAGGTGGGGGATTAGTGGGCATAGACCAAACAATCTTGATAATTACGATCAGACTTGAGGTCGCTTGATTTGCCGTTCGTGTACGATACGATTACAAAGCTGAAACTATTTTTTTTTGGGTATGAGAAGCCTGTAAACCAAACCTGGAAAATGACATCAGTGTCCGAGTGCATCACATTGCGGAGAGTCCTCTGGTTGTCACGTATATAATCTCGCTCGCAGAAGAAACGCATGAGTACGTGCCGATACGGATACTTCTCCGGGTCGCAAAGCGGAGTCTCAACATTGTATGTGTCCAGAAAATTCTGATAAAGTAGAATAAATGCATTCAATCGACAATAAAGGGAATTGAATTGACTCTTCCCCTCAAGTTGAAGAGAGGACTACAAAAAGGCTCAATTTTATGATGTCAAAGACCAATCATTCCGTGCGGAAAAGAGACCAAAAGTGTGTTCTTTTGGATTCGCATGCGGATAATTAGGGCTTACACATGATACGTTGAACATACAGTATGGTCTGAACTCCAAATGAAAGTGGATTATAAGCCATGCACAATCGGGTCATCGACGATGCAAGTGTAATTTGTACTAACCTTCATAGGACCCACTCTGAGTGTATCATCAGTGAAGAATATAACCACACGAGCATCACTGTTGAAGCGGCGGAAAGATCTAACAAAAGTATTCAAATCCTCGACGGTGGGAGTGTAGTTGTTGTACCTGAAGTGTACATCATTTAGACAGTGAGTCTATTTCCAAACGTGCTGGAGATATTTTAAACATGAAGTGCACGGTGAGTATACCAGCATCGACAATAGCATTAGAGCTCGAAGGAAAATCCTGAAAGGGTACAATACGGCAGCCTGGGAGCCATGACACACGACTGTGTTTTTCAGCATATATCTGTTTCAAAACAGTCAGAAAACTCTAGAAAAAAAAATGCATTTTCACAAGTGAAGTACTTATAAAGTTTCATAATCTATCGTGACTCAGCTATCCCAGAGATTGGACAAGAAAAAGCAATAATATAGCAGTATACATGTGTACCAACACGATTGTTAGTTCGACTCAGGTAAATAGCTCTTGGCTGATATCATGTGACGAGTGCGGCTGCTAGACATATGTTCACGTGATCTCGAGCAAGTCATTTAAATGCGGTTACTATTAAGTTTTAGTCGGCCTACTTGTACGTGTGCGATTTGCAGTCGTCAATATGTAAATGATGAGAATAGCATTTTCTTTTTCTTTTTAAAGATAGGAAAAGTATTCACCACGTCTCGATCTAGTCGTCTGTTTGCATATTTTTGTACTTCTGAAAAGGGTGGGTAGGCAGAGCTAAAACATTTATTCACCTACCGATGTGTATCACCTTTTGTGTACAAGCCACAACGATAAATGCAAAGCTTTCAATTCAAATCATATTTAGACAAAATGATTCCCGTTATGCATAGGTATATTCGCTATATATAGAGCTGCGCGAGCATGGATGTACTACTGAATACTGCAAGCTATCCTTGATATATTATTGCTAAAACCAAAAAAAACAACATGTATATTATGCACAACTTGAGGGTGACATTCCTGGGTTTGCGGATTGGCGACAAAGATCTGGAATGCATAATATATCGTGTACTATTCATAGCTCTATTCGTAAGTGGAAAGACACATTTACTAGATCTGCACGCGCATGGGATTCAAATACACATAAAGTTTGTGACAAACTAAAGGGTGATAGGACCCATAAGAAAAGGGTAGCTTACAAGTGTGGGTCAAGTACGTATGAAAACTTATTTGTTCCAAAACCAATTGAGAAATTAATACATTTGGATACAGATCAAACAAAGATGGCTTACCACTTTCAAATATTTAATTGCAGAAAAATGAACTCAATTTCTTTTCGAAACTCTATGACAAAATCAGGTACATGACTATAATGTAAGGACCGATTTGCACGACCAAATCAATAAAAGTGAGGATGAACACATATACGTATATACGTATATACGTATATATATACATACACACAAACATACACACACACACACACACACATATATATATATATATATATTGTATTTATCTAAATATATAATATAATATACACATATACATACGTATACGTATACGTATACACACACACACATATATATAGATATATGTATATACATATATATATAAATATATATACATATATATTTATTTATATTTATACATATATATATATATACTACATATGCATATACATATACAT